CCCTAAACCCTAAACCCTGCTTTCATCTTCCCTGCTTTCGGAGGATGTCTTGGATCTTGGCGTTGAGCTGAGTGGGGCGCCGCTTCACGAGGCCCTTGATTCACATGTGGGTAGTTCTAATTAGGGTCCCTTTTGGATTTTAGGGTTTAGGGTTTAGGATTTAGGGTTTAGGGTTTAGGGTTTGGGGTAGTTCTCTAAATTAGGGTCCCTTTTGGGGTCCTTTTTATAAGGGTGCAAAGTACTATATTGGGACCCTAAAAAGGGACCCTAATTCAGAGAACTACCCATGTGGGCTCGGTGGGTTTGGGAGCTCAGCGGCTTTCTGTCCCAAGGCGCCTTATGTGCGCTCCTTGCCAGGCCTCCATCGTTCGGGCCTTCCTGGGCGGCTTGGTTTGGGGACATGGCCTGCAAGCCCGTGGGTGTCTCAGGAACAGCCCAGAGAGCCCGATACCCCTTAATTAAGCAACATACTTTAAATCATAATATTAGGGCCCCTATATTTTAAGGTCTATTCCTTGATTAAGGGGTATTGGGTTCTCTGGGAGGATGAGGGTGTAGTGGCATGTGCAGTGCACACGTGCTGCGGCTGTGAGGTGACCTTCTTGTCTGGATCGAGGGCCGGCCCACCTCCGAAATGTCACCGGAGGAAGTTTCGGAAGAGCTGCCACATCCTCAGACGCGGGGCAAGATCCTTGCGTGTACTTTGCTTTCCTACCCGAGCCGTGTTCTGTTCCGTGACTTGCCTTGATTCGTTTGTCTGTCTGACTGGCCTGTCCAGCTGTCCGACAGCGTGCGTGATACCAACGGTCGGCACACGAGTGTACGACGGAAGAGATGGAAGGAGAGCAGTTCGACCACTGCGTCTGGGTTTCGTGCCAGGCGCTTGGAACCCGCCCTCGTTGGCAGAGATTGTTTAAAGTTTAAGGCAGTTGCCGCAGCAGGAATTGCCGACGATTTCAGTTGAAGCTTTCAGAGGGGAGTAAAAGAGCTCCACACCCTAAACCCTAAACCCTCAGCCCTAAACATTAAACCTAAAACCCTAAACCCTAATTCCTACTAAACCCTAAACCCCTAAACCCCTAAACCCTAGGCCCTAAGCCCTAAAATGCAGGAGTCGAAGCACGAAGCTCTGCTGAGGCGCTTGGCCTCTCAAGGCTTCGAGGTGCGTGTGGCGAGCCCTGGCCGTGCGAGGCCCGCACGTCTGACATTAATATGGGGCCTTAATAATTAGAACAGGGGTTCCTTTAAAGGGAGCCTCATAAGGGTTCTATTAAGGGATCTATGATAGGGTTCTTTTTTAGGGGCCTTAATAATTCGTCAAGAAGCCTTGTTGCAGGCGACACGTGGGGGTTTCCCAAAATAGAGGATCCTAATATAGTGCTCTAAATAGTAGTATAGGATCCTTATTTTAAGGACCCCAAAATCAATGCTGCAGGCGCCACATTTGAGAGCAGCGTTATGCACCTTGAACGAGTCTGCTGGGCCTAAACCCTAAACCCTAAACCTGCCTAAACCCTAAAACTCTAAACCTTAATTCCTACTAACCCTAAACCCTAAAGCCTAAACCCTTGGCTACAGGTCGCCGGGTGCCGGGGATCTCGGCCAAGTGGATCAGGAGCTGCAGGACCCAGGGGCCCGGACCAGGTGTTTCTTTGGGGGTGCATCGCCTTTTTTTTTGGGGCTTCTGGGTTCTTCCAGCGGTTCTTTGTTTCTGGGTGGTCCAAGCACGCTCTTATTTCTCAGAATTTTCGCACCACAAGTTTTGCCTGATGCTTCGGAGGAGCTGCGGGAGCGACGGCAGCACCTGCAGCAGCTGCAGCAGAAGCTGGTGGAGGTGCAGTCGCAAGCCGCGCAAGAAGAGGCAGCCCAAGCGCCCTCCTTGCGGCGTCCGAGGACTCCTCTTGCAGAGGAGGGGTTTCAGGGATACTTCCAGGAGTCGCTGCCGAGCGGATACCCTCAGACGCAAGACACTCAGCGAGAGGCCGCGCAAGCGCAGCTCCAGCAGGCCAGCTTTTCGCAGACTCCATTCCAGCCAGGCTCTGCACACTTGCCCCTGGCGCACGTGCATGCACAGGCTCAGCAGCCAGGCCCTTCGACAGCAGCAGGCGCACCCGCGCAATTCCAGCAGTCAGGGTATCCAAACTCAGCGCATGGTCCTGCGCAGCTTCATCCCTCGGCTTCAGCGGCCGGACCCGCATCATTTCAGCCAGGGCATGGCCCTGCGCAGCTTCAGCAGCCAGGCTACTCACAGATGCCATCAGCCGGACCCGCGCAGTTTCAGCAGCCAGGGTATGGCGGCGGGCCGCCAGCTGCCGGACCAACTCCTTTCCAGCCAGGGTATCCACAGATGTCTCCAGGCGCAGGTCCGGCACATCTTCAGCCAGGCCCACAGACGCTAGGATCCGGACCGACACAATGTCAGCCGGGATACCCGCAAGTGTCAGCACACGCATCTGCACATCTTCAGCAGCCAGGCTATCTGCATGCCTCTGCACAAGCAGAGGCGAGTCAGCTGCCTGGCCACTCACAGATGCTCCAAGCCACACAGCAACAAGCAGCACAGGCAGGAGGTCAGCAGGGAGCTTTTCCTCACATGCCACAAGTGTCCGCACATCTTCAGCAGCAAGGATCTTCTTATCCAGTGCCGCGTCCGTTTGAGCCGGGCTACTCTCAGACATCCCAGCTCCAGTCGATGCCGCAAGCCGGAGCACTTTTTCAGCCCGGCCACCCGCAGCCGTCAGCAGGTGGGTCTGCGCCGTTTCAGCCAGGCTATCAGCCTGGCGCCAACCAGGCTCCCAACTTGGCTGTGGCCGGAGAGCATGGGCTTGGCGCACCCACTGGTGGGTGTGGCGGACCTGGTGGGGGTGGGCCTGGTGGGCCCACTGGTGGGTGTGGGTCTGTGGCAGATGGAGGTGTGGTCGCTGGAGCTTGTGGAGTGCCGTTGGCTTCCGGCGATGCGTCGGGGTTTCTTGGAGGCCTTGAAGGTGGGTCTGCTGCCCTGGCGCAAGCTCCCCAAGAGCTAATGAGCCAAGCGGCATCTGCGGTTCTTGGTGGCACTGAAAGTGTGACGATGGAGGAGATGTCAGAGCCACGAAAACTCGAGGAAGAGCAGAGCAAGGCCTCAGAGGAGGCCCAGAGCTCCCGTACTGGCCAGCGAGAGGAGAGCTCCCAAAGTGAGGAGCTCAAGGCCATGTGCGAGAAGCAGGAGCAGGAGGTCTTGCTTCCTGCAGTCTCTGCCGCTAAGGCCGAAACGGAAGAAGCGCAGGCGCGTGGCTTCTATGCCCGGGAGGCCGCTCTGGAGGAGGTCGCGTCGGAGCTAGAGGAGGTCCGGGAGGAGAAGATGCAGCTCCTTGCAGCTTCGGAGGAGGCGGAAGCTCGTCTTTGCGAGCGCACCGCAGAGATGCAGATGCGCTACGAGACCGAGGAGCAGGAAAGCTTGCTGCCGGCTCTGGCAGCAGCCAGAGTTGAGAGGGAGGAAGCTGCAGCGCGAGGATTCTATGCACGGGAGTCTGCCATGGAGGAGGTGGCCTCGGAGCTGCAGAAGATCCGGGAAGAGCAGACGAAAGCGTCTGTGGCCGCCGGCGAAGCGGAGGAGAAGCTTGAAATGGCCAAGGCAAGGGAGCAAGTCACTGCCGAGTGCGAGGAGGCGGCGGCAAAGGAGGTGAAGAACTGGGAGGAGTTGCTGCAGCAGCGGGAGAAGGAGATCCTGTCCCAGAGTGAGCTCCGTGATCGGGAGCACGAGGCCGCGCTCCAAGCGCGCTACGAGACGCAGGAGCGGGAGCTCCTCTTCCCTGCAGTCTCTGCCGCTAAGGCGGAGACGGAAGAAGCGGCAGCTCGGGGCTTCTACGCTCGGGAGGCCGCTCTGGAGGAGGTCCAGAGTGAGCTACGGAAACTCCGGGAGGAGCAGAGTTTGGCCACCCTAAGCCGCGAGGAAGCCCAGGAGGCCACCGCCAAAGCCATCCGGCAAGACAGCCTCACGCGGGAGATGGAAGACAAGGCGGCCATGGAGGTCTCGAAGTGGGAGGCTCAGCTAGCTGCCCGGGAGCAAAGCTTAAAGAGCCAGCAGGAGCACCAAGAGCGGGAGTTTCTGGGGGAGGCGAAGACGGAGCAGCAGTTGTCCTCCGCTCTGCGCGTCAGGGAGTTGGCTCTGAAAGCCGGCGAGGAGGACCTGAAAGCCAAGCTGCGCAGCCGCGAGCACGTGATCTTGCAAGAGCAGCGGGAGATGGAGGCCTTAGAGAAGCGAGCCGAGGAGATGATGGCCTTGGCATTGAAGCGTCGCCAGAATCTCCTGGTGGAGGAGCAGAAGGAGGCGGAGGCCCTGGAGCTGCGGGCCCAGGAGCGTGCCCGGGAGCTCCTTGCAGAGGCGGAGGAGCGCCGGAAGACGCTGCAGGGCGAGGCTTCGGAAAGCCTGGAATCTGCGGAGCAGAAGGCTCAGGAGCTGCTCCAGGAGGCCCAGGAGCGCAGGGAAGAGGCAGGGAAATTAGAGGGGCCTTGGGATCTATAAGGGTTTAGGGTTTAGGGTTTAGGAATCTACCTTAAATTATAGGGGCCTTAATATTATGATGTAAAGTCTATTTCTTTCTTGTCGGGATGGGATTTTTTGGAGTTTTCTTCCTTTCAGGTGGTGCTCCAAGAGGAGAGGGAGCTGGAGGCCATGGAGAAGCAGGTCGAGGAGCTGACAGCAGAGAAGCAGGCGCAGGCGCGCTTTTGAAACCAGATGGGGCAGGGTTTAGGGTTTAGGGTTTAGGGTTTAGGGTAGTACAAACCCCAAAGCGACGAAGGGCCAAAGGCGCCCCAAGGATCAAAATTGCTCAAGACCCTAATGCTCAGGATGTTGTGTACAGCCTTATATGCCTCATAAGCCTTCATACCCTCAACCCTGAACCGGCAGATAAACCCCAAAAGTCTTCATACTCCTGGCCAAAGTCCAAACCCCAAAACCCCAAAACCCCAAAACCCTAAATCCTAAACTCCTAAACCCTACACCCTGAACTTCGAAACCTCAAAATTCCTCCCTTCCAAAGCCTCGGCGACTCTGAGCCAGGTCGAGGCTTCGGGAGCTAGAGCCTCGGGTCATCCCGGGTTTAGGGTTTAGGATTCAAGGTTTAGGGTTTAGGACTGAGGGATTTTAGGGTTTAAGGGTTTAGGGTTTAAGGTTTAGGATTTAGGGTTTAGGGTTTAGGACTGAGGGTTTAAAGTTTAGGGTTTAGGGTTTCGGATTTAGGGGTCTAGGGTTTAGGGTTTAGGGTCTAGGGGTTCGGGTTTAGGGTTTGGGGTAGTTTTCAAAAGAACCTCAGTTTCAGGGGGGTTTAAGAGTCTCACGGGGTTTCGAAGATTTTAGGTTTCTGAGGGCTTTTACGTGGTTTTGTGTTTTTTTTTGAGTTCTAAGGGTTCAAGGGTTTTTAAAGAGTTTGGGTTTAAGGTTTGGGGTTGCGGGGGAAGCAGAGATGTGTAGTGCCTGATGCTGGGGATGATGTTGGTTGCGCTTTGTGCTCATCTATGGCTACCCATAAGCCCCATAGTAGTTCCTTTTTGGGATTACCCTAAATACAACCACAAAAGGGAACTACTAAACCCTAAACCCTAAACCCCTAAACCCTAAACCCCTAAGCCCCTAAACCCCTAAACCCTAAAACCCCAAAGCCCTAAACCCCTAAAACCCAAGGGTACCCCTAAACCCCTACCCCCTTTGGTTTT